TCTTGAATTTAAATCTATTAGATTTTTTGGCAAACGGAACTTATCAATTCTATTTGCAGCTGGGATCCGCTTCATTGTAATATTATCTATATTATTGAAAAATCCCTGTCCATAATTAATAATATGATAGCAATACCTGGTACTATTGAATGCATCAAGCAATTTATTAATTTGCCAAAGCATTTTCCGATAAATTTGAGCCCGAGACCTAAATATTCAAATACTTTTTTCAATTCTCTTCGAGTAAAACCGCGAACAAAAATTCAAATTTGAAGTAAGTTAAATATTAGTTTTATTATCCGTGGAGTTTCCTCGTAGGAGTTGCAACTGTGCTGAAGGAGCAACCTAAAACGCTTGTAGTCCGCGCACGCTTGATTCCCCAAACTTTGATTCACTACATAAGCATTGAATGCTGGTGCGTGAATTATTCAAGCAGTGCCCAGAACATAATTAAGCCCTTTGGGCGACAAGCTAACTGGCTCGGCTGGATCTGGACGTGTCCTACGAATCATGCCGCGTTGAAAGCTTACACGTAACAGCAATTTTCAGTAATTACATATCTTTTAAGAACATTTCTGTGTATTAGAATTTAGATGGATAGTGAAAATGATTATAGTTACATTGCTACTATTTACCATTATTTTTTCAGAAACTTCTTTTTTTTCTTTTTTTGTTAAAAATATTGGTGTAACAGAGGCAAATCAGTCTTAATAACCTGATGAGCACAAGTTATTCCGCACAATTTTGAAAAAAAGGTTGGTCTGTTACATATTTTTCAACATTAGGGTATTTTTTCATTACAGAACTGAAAAAAAGCTAGCAGCCCATCTAGGAATGGGCTCGCAATAACAAAATTAGAATTTTTTTAACAAATAAAAAAAAATAAAAAAAATGCATTTAGATTAAATTAATCTTTTATTTCTTTCTAGATGTGAAACGAAAGGTAGAATTAAACTTTTCCTATAGTTCACAATATTTATTGACTTTTGTATCATATTAGCATCGCAGATGACTTCTCTGAAATTGAAGAATTGTGACTAAAAGTTAAATTTTTCACTGCACCAAGTAGCTCATATATGTTATTCTACAAAGGCCTCATTCATATGAATAACACGAGAAAGGTTGTGGTAAAAATCAGAGAAATTAATCTTACGTAACTTTTGATATTCTCTTTAATCGCTAAACAAAATAATCTGAATGAGATTAGTGATGGACATTGTCTGCAGATCTGGTGCTGTTTAGATCAATAGTTAGGAGCTACCATTTAAATAATTTAGTTACTAGCTAGGAATAAACGCAGTTTCAATGAATTGATACCTGAAATTTAGGTGATAGTGAAGAATAATTATGATTGAAAATATGTGAATTGTTTTCAAAATTTATTCAGCAGGTTTTTACAGTGAGGGAATACAAGTTTTTCGGGAGACTTGTAATGGTTCTCTTTAAGTAAAGATCATCACTTGAGATCATCGTTCCGTTTTTAAAAATCATCACTACCATCAGAGACAAAAAGAAACAAGTGCAATATTTATTTCCCGAATAATATAATTTGGGCACATTATTATACTCTTCATTTAATTTTAAATCTAAATTAGTCAAACTACTCAGCAAGAGTGAAATGAAAGATTTAAGCTACCACTCACCTCTTCTCATTTTAACCAAAAAGAGATAGCAATACCTACATGGCTTCCGATTTAATTATACGCTAATTAAACTTCTCATGAACATCGCGAGCAAAATCTAAGAAGTTTGAGATTAAAGGTAAAAGTGCTCCGACTAAACTGTGGGTCACGTTGACCTACCGGAATCCAAATCACGGCTGACAGTTTTGATTCATGCATAGTAAACTAACAAAAATGTTAGGGTTATTTTGTCAAAATAGTGACACACTTCATGCACGTAGCACTGATACGCCCTTTTGCAGAAAAAACTTGATCAAGATGATCTACACAGTGGCTATGAGTGCATTTATAATTGGAGCATATCACACGCAGTTATCTGCGTGTATATGAGCTTGAGGAGCGCAGGCTTTACGACCAAACTTCAGTGGCAGTGGTTAATAGAGACGAATATTATCTGTAAGATAGCTCGTGAAATCAAGAAGATTTTTCTAACTTAAGATTTATTACACGCACTTGAACAAAGATAATAATAGCACAAAATATCAATGTGAGGAATATCAATATAAAAAATAATCAACATGAGAGCAATCATTAAAAAAAAGTATCAAGAGATTTTATGACTAAATCGTACACAAAACTCGACTGTTGTGAGTAATAAGTGATAATTAAACTTTCCACAGTACGGTAAAACCTATTCTTGGTAATTGAAAAAAAAATTTTGAATCTAATTTCTTAAATTATATCCGTGGTTAAGCTTCAACAAGTCAATTCAGCACATTTCATAAGTGGTTAATTAGCTCATTATTGCAATATATCAGCTAAGGAATTATTCGGATTTTCCCATCAGATTTGTCTGAAATAATGGTCTTTAACCCTGTTTAACATCATCTTGAGAGAAGAATAAAAACCTGGATAAGATTCCGCCACCCAATGATGTGTGCCAATAATATTGCTAATTGCATAATATAGCTTATTTCATAGTATAGCTTGGTGCATAGTTTATATTATTCCATAGTATAGCTAATTGCATAATATAGCTTATTGAATGGTCTAGATTATTGAATAATCTAGCTTATATTACAATTCAATATGTCTTAGGGATAAGAGTTGTGACGCCTAAGGCACCAGCGCCTTATTTCATATCTATGCCCGATCAATTCCAGCCGCGTTGAATCTGGCGTTCTCATACTTCGCTCAATTCCTGTAACGCTGCACTTACGTACCTTTAATTGAAAAAGTTAGAAGGGGCAAAACATATGATTTAAGAATTTAACTAATCATAAATTTTTTAATGTTGAGAAATTTGCTGAGAAAATACCAGTTTAATATGGTTGCACATGCATAAACCAACGCAAATCATGATGATGATAAAAAGAGGATTATTTAACAATAAAATAAAACCTATTCTTTGTCTAATAATAACTGAATTAAAATAATGAACAATAAATAATTAAAAATATGGCCATAAATTGAAATAACCTTTCTATCCGTATTTCATTTAGCATTTTTTGAGAAATTGATTTGAAACACGTCAGCTGCTCGGAACTGGAAGTTACTTTCATTGTCTAATTTCCTTACCTCGATTTTCTGAAACGCAAGCTCGGGACTCTATTAAAAACGTAGTCATTATATATTTAACTAGCCTGGCTAGGTTGGATAAGCTTCAAGGGTAGCCAAACTGAACGCGTGGATGTAGGTCAAGCTAGTCACGCAATCCCTGAAATAACTTGGCCCTCAGAATATCTGATGACCGAGCTCGAGTCGTGTGCTAAAGGTCATGCAGTAAAGTGCACGTAAAGGCCTCTGGATACTCCACGTATTTCTTAGCAGTGTGAGTTAGTCGGAAGTTTATACTCCTCTTTCGTACTTATTTGGTTCTGTGATCGTTGAATTAAATAATTTTGGGGGTTTGAATCGAAAACATGAAGAGTAAAGGTTAAATCTAGTAGCAAATGATTGAAGAGTTATAAATTTCGTCACCATTTAGTACGGATGCTGATAACATTTGTGGAAAAATTATCGCAAAATTATCTAAAGCGGCAATCGCATTCTTATCGTGTTCATATCTTTCTGTAAGCCTGCTTAAAAAACGGCTCAAGCTTGACTTGCACAAAAACTCAACTTGACTTACACAAAAACTCAACTTGACTTGCACAAAAGCTGAACTTGACTTACACAAAAGCTCAACTTGACTTGCACAAAAACTCAACTTAACTTGTACATAAGCTCAACATGACGTGCAGAAATACTCAACTCAACTTGCACAAAAGCTTAACATGACTTGCACAAAAATTCAACGTGAATTGCGCAAATTATCAACTTGTCTTACACAAAAGCTCAACTTGACTACCACAAAAGATCAACTTGACTTGCAAAAAAAGTTTAGCTGACTTGCTCAAAATCTCAGCTGCTTACTGAAAACCGGAGTGTCCCGAATAAAATCTATCACCTCATATAATTTCAATCACAAATTCGTATTCTCAAAGCAAAAGCAAAATTAGTAAAAAATTCAAACTTCTCGTCTGATTGCGACGCTCGTAAGTTAATTTGGCTTCTGTTTATTTTCAAAAGAACTTATCTCCATAAATTGTAAAGAACGCCAGAAAAAACTTTTGAGCCACGTCTCAAAAAGCGTAATGCCATAACTTTCGGTTCACAAAGTAAAAAAAATCTTTAAACTATAATCACTTACGCTTCTCCCGATGAACTTGTATACTGGGAGACTGCAGCTTTACTGCACTTCATCATCTCGTCCTTAGCATTCTTTAAACCATATGTATTACTATAATTTCAGTAAAACTGATATTCCTACAATAGTTCATGTTTGTAGGTATAAATATATGATTTAGTGATCACAAAAATGGTTCTCGTCGGAACCTACACCACAAGAATATCTCAGGAGCGTTGTTGACAATTATTCATCGTTCGTTTCAATTATATTCTCAATCACTCTTTCAGATGCAACCGCTGATCGAGATTCCTTTCGGAAACAATAGACATTTTTTAAGACATTACAAACCGAATATTTGGATGCCATGGTGAAATTATTTATTATTATTATCTAATATGAGTGACAATTCCTTATGAGTGTCCTTATGAATGACAATTTATGAACCCATATGAGCTCCTTACTCTTCTCATTCCCATAAATACAACCAACGGCACTATAAAATAAAATATTTTACGAGATTTTTCTTAAATTTATATCCTCCAAATATTTGAGTATATATGATCCTAATTGAGCTTATTACTCTTCCTGTTCCCAATTTCACCACCAACAGCACGTGATAACGGTAATTATTTAAATAGATAATCTTTTTAATATGGTATGCTTTAAGCCCATTTATGACCCCTAATTGATCCACCCTGCCCTCACAGGTACCATCGGCTGCGGGTGATCACTAACTACTTCGTGGTCTCGATGGCTCTGGCGGACATGCTTGTGGCTCTCATGGCTATGGCATTCAACGCATCCGTGCAGCTCACCAACATGTGGCTCTTTGGGCCGACCATGTGCGACCTCTGGAACTCCATGGATGTGTACTTCTCTACGGTATCTATACTACATCTCTGCTGCATCTCCATTGACAGGTGAGAGACTGGCTGCAGACTTATTTTAAGGGTCTCTTTAGGATAGTACAGGTTTATTACATGAATGCTTATTGAAAGTATATAATATGAGAGACCATGATTGATAGCTTTATTGATACTTATAAATTTAAAAATAATAATTCAAGTCTTTGCCGGGTCACTCGAGTAATCACTCGAATAGTCTTTAACGGATCATATATTCATGGACACTCTAGAACGCTCGTTCCAGTATAAAAATCGAACTTCATCTATTTGTCATTACGACAGTTATTGACAAGCGATTTCCAAGTGAAATACCCAGAAATGTTGCCGTGCTATAAATTCCCTTAACTCGCTCTTATTCAGTTTCTTGTGGAATTTTTTCACAAAAAATAATCCCTTGCTTCAAACATTTCAGCAGCTGTTTTTATTCAAAATTTTACCTTAATGTCGCATGAAAACCAAATGGAAAAGACTTTCACGGGCTTAATTTTTCGTCTTAAAATTTTCGATCCATCGTCTGTGCAGTTTCATTGATATTTCAATAGCAACGATATTTCTTATGTCGTTCGACCCTTGAGAAGACTCATTTGTAATGCAGACAAGTCACTCAGCTCGTGTGAATGTTGTCGTATTCCGTTCCCCTTCCACTAATAAGTTAAGAAATTACGGACCAAGTTCAGCGCATACAAGGAAACGATTATGATTTCTTAAATATGCGAGAAATTCACTAGAACGAGCTAAATTTCTTCTATTTACTGACTTGCACGAATTATTACAGAACAAACAACTTTAAATGTACAAAAGATCAATTTTGTGTGAATTTTATTTTCTACTACGATCGAAGATGTGATCGAGTCTCAGTTTTATTTCCAATGCAAAAGAATACGGAGGAAAATCTACTTCATTATATCGTTCATTTATCTGCAAATAGAATTTACTAGCACTTTATTGCACCAATGAATTTATGTTGAACACCCAGCAAGTATTTAATAAGTTCCCTGATTGACCCATGATAATATTAAATTCCTATTGAACCACTATTATCATGTTTTACAATGAAAAATGAAAAAAGATTCTCGGAACAACTTTTCCGATCGATTTTCTTTAGAATACTTACGGCGAACATGACACATTTACAAAATCTTAAAGAATTTTACAGATCCATTGGAAAAACTACAGCTCAAGTGTCAATGACATCAAAAATTCGCACTCTGACAGAGGACAGGCTGGGAGGTGCTTCGGGGACCACGAGTTTTAAAAGCTAGTATAAAAAAATAAAAAGTTCAAAAGCTTTCACGGTGATCCCATGAACTGCCGGAACAGTAAGCGTCTTATAAGATTTGGTGTTCGGCTTTGAATATTTTCGGATGAGTCAATCTGCCTATCCGTCTGCCACCTCACGTTGAACCAAATATCATTTTATATTCACGCCTGTCCTGAACCGTGTAAAACTCACGAGACAACAAATTGAGACTGCAATCTTTGTCAAACCTTGACATTACACACATTGTTTTGCATCATTAACTATGCATGCCAGAATGAGCAAACATGGCTTCCTAGTTTGAAAATTCTGAGGTAAATAGTCCGAAGCATTTTTAAAAAACCTTACATACGCATTTACGAAAATTCACTACAATTATTATTTATGAATATATTAATATTAATAATATATTCATTATATTAATTAAAATCCACTTCAATTAATATAATGAATTGTATATTATACAATTAATTTATGAAAATCCACTCTCTTTATTCGTACATATAAATTCAATTAAAATTTAAACTAGCATTTTTATTTGAATTTATACATCTTTTTGATTGAATTTAATAATAAAACAGTGACATTTCCGATCTACTATTTCAATCTGTCACTTAATAGCTTTTTTCAAGACAATTATGGAAATAAAGCAGACATCAACCACGACTCTCTTTAATTCGAGGCTACATCTCAGCCAGAACGAAAATAACCACCAAGGGGAAAACATCTTGGCAATCGCAACCTGCTCTCAATTGCAACGAAGGAAAGGTTCTCTGCCCTGAGTCCTTTACAATTCCTATTACGTAAATTACAGCCGTTCCACGCCCTATTTCCATTGTCAACAGAAATTGATGGCCCCTTTCTTACGCCATATTTTGGGGATACCAATCAACCTTGATCGTTCCTGCTCGCTGACCTAAGACGCTCTCCCGAATTCGCAGCCGGCAATGTGGTGTGCAACTTTGGCCCACTGACGTTCACGAAGATAAAGCCACTCTTTACGGAGCATTTTACGTACTTTACCACGAATTTTCGGATGTTCGCTAAGTGTTTTAGGGCTTATGGCGAATCAGTTGAGCCTGGGATTCCCGAAGCTTAGTCGTTCAAAGTGGAAAGCTGCTGCAGCAATCGATTGTTCGAGGCAAAGTCGGGGCAAAACTTCTGTTCTGATATACAGCGATTGAATTGAATTCTTTTTCAAATAATTTCACTTCACGGATGCTTAAAGTCAAGCACGCATGTAGGAGAGGAAGTCATGGAGTCGCTGAGCGTTTGGTGATTTAGTGCCACGAATATATATAGAATTTTTATACAGAATCTTAGAAAGACACAATGCAACTGATGCGTGATTGCATTGTAATATCTCGGGGGAATACTTTTTCCCTTCATAACTTAATAAAGCGTGAAGAATGAGTTTCGTCGCATCAACAACAACAACTGAAGCCTAATCAAATCAATTGAACAGAGGCACAAAAAATACTGAGTCCTAAGTCAGTCATGTTATATTTTCAGACCAAACACAAAACACCATTTATTTTTTAAACTGGTTCTACTAGTACCTAAAACACCACAAACTAACAAACTGCGGGACTTTCTTGTGTGTATGACAATGTGGCGTCGAATATCTAAATACTTGCTACACAATAACATTTCTCCAGAAGTTAGTCACGTCCAAGTTTCAGTGATTGCGCGGACGGGCGGAGTTGTGGGGGCCGATTGGTATGCCGGCAATGCGCCGCGTTGTCGCTATGTGTGATTAACGTCGCCGGAAGTTGGCCGCAAGTTGACTCGGCGTTGTCGCCCGCACCGCTGTCAGCGTGTGCTCGATGCACGAGTGAATGCAAGTTTCATATCATTCATCTACTAAACTAGCTTCTCTTCTGTGATGCAATGAATAAATTGCATATAAAGATTTTTGCAATGAATAAATTGCGTCACACCGATGCAATCACAATACAGTTTTGAACTGAAATTTGAAATCTTAACTAAAATTAATTTGCTGTATTAATCGGAAAACAACTAACAAAGTAATCCATATTGAATTAGTAATTATAGTTGAATACAGCAAAAATTTGAATATTTGATTTTAGAGAAACATACTACTCGTACAGTTGAAAACGGAGCCTAAATCCTAATTTTAGGTTTGTGAACTTAACTAAAAAGTAATGCATAGTTATATGATTGTAAATAAAGGTGCACCAGTGAGGCAGCTTGCACTTTTAGTTTGCTGGCATCGTGAGGAGAAGGTCGCTTCTAAATGGCATCTCTGCATAATGAAAGACCAGGGCGGCAGCCTTCTTTTCTTCATGGCTCTAGGTGCTATGATATTTTTTAGTACCGCAGGCTGAGTAAGTCTCGGTTAAGTTATTCGCCCTTTATTCTCCAATCAATTTCTGAGATCAGGTAAGCTGGATAATAGTCACGAATACCGAATACGAGGAAAATTCTCCGAATTAAATGAGTACAATTTATGGTTTGGGATGTCAGTGGCTATATATTAAATCTTTTGCGGTACAGCAATGGAACAAAATTACTACTCATGGGTAAATCCTTATAAATATATCTTATTGAAACAGATATTTTAAAAATTTGAAGAAATTATTTATTAAAATTTGTTTGTGGATTAATCAAACGTTTGTTCGGCAGTGCTTTCAAAAAATATGCCTATTAATGCCATTCGGCATGTAAAAAATCGAAGAATCTAAAAAATTGCGGTTGCTCGGCTTTGTTTCAACACAATATAAGATTATATTCAGGCTTCTGTAAATTTAATGAGGAATACAGTATATATTTGAAATAAAGCCGCAATCATTTCTCACATTGTCATACAAACTAAAAGCGGTTGATGTCAAGATATTCATAATTTTAATAAATATTTGCGCGTTCGTCATTTTTTATGCTCCTACAGAGAAAACACATTCGCTATACAAAACGAATGTAATAGGGTAATCCAAATCCCGCATATTCGTTCGTGTGCGAGATCCTTCGCATAGAATTGCAAACTAAGGACGTTTTTCGAAACTTTAGCAGCAATTTGTTTGCTTGAACTGCTGGCTGCAATCTAAGTTCAGGCTTTTCGATCCCAACCAGCAGACATTTTTGATGCTGAAAAAATCGGCTGAACTATACATGCAGTCGTCTCCACTGACGAAGGTCTAGTCCAAGTTAAAGTTTAGTCGAAGATCGAGTTAGAAATTAAAATTTTTGCTGTGAATTTAATAATGAGTGATTAACAAAAATAAAAAATAACAGAAAAGTTAAAAAATTCAAACTACAGATTTAAAGAAGAATTTTGGAGGCAGCCAAAGTCAAAAGAATGAACTCTCATGATTGCAAAATTTGATTGGAGACGCTAAAGATTTTGATGCTTTAGACCCATTAATACATCATATTTATATGCTTTGTTCAGAAACGCAATCATTTACCATATTATTTAGCAGTATTATATCAATCACTTTTGCAAATCGTGTTACAAATATTTTTATATTCAGAGAATAATTATTTCGCAATATCTTTTTTGAACACAGGTAACCTAATATCTCACTATACGTGATCAGCATCATGGAAAAATCAGAAGTAGTTTAACCTGCAAAAATACAAGAATCCCACATTGCCAATGGCCACAATATGAACGAATAATATTGGAAGTTGCAAATGATTCATAAAGAAGTTGCAGTTTCCTTGCACTTAATTTTGCGACTGAAATTTGAATAAGGAAGCGTGGAGACCTCTGGTCAGACCATTGCCAAGTCCAGCCACCTCATTATCTTATATGTATATAAAAAGGAAAGCCAGTACTTCTACAAATATATTCAACTAAATAAAAAGCTTGGAAGAAGTTTTTCAACTAGAATAAAAAGTTCGTCATGCGACTTTTTTCATTCATTGAACATTAAAGAAGATTGCCACTTGAACTTTTTGATAGTAATGTTATTTTATATGTCCTTCTTATATGTCATATATGTATATTATTATGTTTTGATTATGTAATCATACATGCTATAACATTAATATTATGTGTCATATTAAGTGATAAGTCTTTTTTATTTACATTGAAAAATATAAATACTGGAAAATCATTTCTACAATATCTAAAAATGAAAGCTAGAAAAACTCTCCAATCAATAAAAAATGTAGCTTTTTATAAAAAGTTGGTGTGTATGTGCCATTTGGAGTCCATTTCATCTGAAATGTCTCGTTCGGCGAAATAAGATTCCATGACCAACCGAAGTCAATGCGATAACATACCTCGTTTATTCATAAAGGAATATGAACATTTATTTGTCTGTTAATAGTTAGTATTATCATTAATAGTTTGTTAATAGTAAAATTTATTTGAATGGAAAGTTAATATGAAAAAGGATTCCTTACATCATGCAACGCTAGTGGAAAGTGAACCCATATTTCAAGTATGAGACAGCACAAATCCGAGCTATTTTTCGAATACATTCGTCATTCTTCTCTCAACAGTAAGATATTATCACAACAAAACCAAATGTTATTCCGAAAATGTTGTTAACACATAACAGGCACTTCTTTTCATGAGGTCTACAAATGGTCACTTCTTGAACTTTTCTAATGTCTTATCCTTACGGATAACCGTTCCTATCAGCTACGATGATAACCATTCCTGTTAATTACAACTAAAGTCTTTGCCAGTCTATTATAAAATATTAACGACCATTCAAAAACTCCAGTACTATAAAGACAAGTATAGACAAAAATAAGCCTCATGCCATAGGAATCTCGCATTGAAACAATAATTTTATCTATGACCTCTCTAGAGATGAAAGAACCATTGTTTTTTGGAATTCAACCATTGATTTCTTTTCACGAGATTCAAAAATTAATTTTAATATCAGAAAATCGAGCATTGCTCAGATCAAGAATAATAGAAGTGATAAAAATATTTTTCTTTGAACTGTACGATTTCTTTGTACGCTATCATTGTTCCTTCATCCTTTTTATAAATATCATCCGGTAATTCATTCAGGGGCTCAGTTATATATTATACAGTCAACACCATTCATAAAGTGACAGCAGGTGTTATCGGCGTCTACCCCGCCTGATGATATACAGATTAATTTTAAATGAGAATCTGATCCTATTATTGAAAAGAATGATCGGTCGAGTCCCTTTTGAAGCTCATGTGTAATTAAATGCCTTTCAAAGCATTCATGTCTGCAGATGGCAAGCAAAAATGATTAATAAGGTAAAAATACAGTGTATATTTTCCTGCTCCTATGAATTGTATAGAAATTTTTAAACTGATCAGTTACAGGATTGGGTATCTTTTATTTGAACAGCAGATGGTTTCCGTTGCAGAATGAAATCAAAATAAATAATTTTTGTTCATTGCAATAATTTATTCGAATTTGTTGTCGGATTATATGCTAATCGATCTTCAGGTACAACAAAGGACTTGTTACATTAGAGCGAATTCTAAAAAGTTGCTGACTCTCCTTAGCGCAGTTGCTGATTCTCCTTAGCGCTGTTGCTGACTCTCCTTAGTGCAGTTGCTGGCTTTCATTAGTGCAGTTGCTGACTCTCCTTAGTGCAGTTGCTGATTCTCCTTAGCGCTGTTGCTGACTCTCCTTAGTGCAGTTGCTGGCTTTCATTAGTGCAGTTGCTGACTCTCCTTAGTGAAGTGGCCGACTCCTCTTAGTGAAGTTGCCGAGTCCTCTTAGTGCAGTTATTGACTCTCCTTTGTAGAGTTGTTGACAGACCTTAGTGCAGTTGATGCTTCACCTCTCAAACACCGTGACATCCTCCAGCTTCGGGATTTTGACAGAAAAGTGGGGATTTTCGTTTTACAGTTAGTAGTTGCAAGTTACTAGTCAGTAGTTACTGACTGTAATATTTAGCCAAGATACTAATTTTGGGCTACTTGATTGCTCATCCACTCATGCTTTATTGTTATATTCAATGATCGATCTTACCGTTGGGTCCCTATATTGCAGTTACTCTGTTTTTATATATAGCTACTGTACAGACCTAAATAGGAGTAATTGTCATTGTAATGTCATTGTAATGTGTGATGTATTCTATCTGACAATAAATGTTTTTTTCTAACTACAACAAAGCAAAATACTTTGAAACAAACGGCCACAACAATCGTCCTTAACACATCGCCTAGCATAGTTTCACAACCAAGCTATATCGGCAAACACCGATGACGTTGCATTGGCAGTTCATGATTTGAGCTGAACTGCGTCCAACTTACTGCATTAATCCAACAAGTGCGCATCAATCAGCAAGCTCATAGCAAAGTTTTTCATAAATTTTGCAGTTTTAGCGAGTAGAAATTTATGGGGTTATCAATGCCCATGCACTGAGCATTTTCATCTAGTTTAGTCATCGTACTTCATCAAATATGGCAATCAATCAAAACAACTGTGGGCCATTAGACGAGCATGCAGACTTGCTACCGAGGCCGCTAATTTTTATTCGATTTAAAAATGCCTAAATCATAAATGTACGGTGTATTGGCTAAGTCGTTCACATTTTGTGTGTCGTCACTAAAATGGACAAATTGATCGATTGATAACTCCTTGAACTATTCAGGATCTTCGAAGTGATTGGAATTCAGCACTTGCCTGTCCGTAGCCTAGGTGCACAACGATCGTTGTGTTACATAGTTATCCTCACGCTCCATACGTCACGCAGATACACCGCGATCGTCTTGTTATCCTCACGCTCCATACGTCATGCAGATACACTGCGATCGTCTTGTTATCCTCACGCTCCATACATCACGCAGGTACACCGCGATCATCTTGTTACATAGTTATCCTCACGCTCCATACGTCACGCAGATACACCGCGATCGTCTTGTTATCCTCACGCTCCATACGTCACGCAGATACACCGCGATCGTCTTGTTATCCTCACGCTCCATACATCACGCAGGTACACCGCGATCGTCTTGTTATCCTCACGCTCCATACATCACGCAGGTACACGGCCATCGTACAGCCGCTGGACTACACCATGCGCATGACCAAGAGCACCGTGGCCCTCATGCTGGCTGTCGCCTGGGCGTCGCCGCTCACCATCTCCGCCCTGCCAATATTCCTGGGCTGGTACACCACAGCGGTGAGCATACTTGGGGGGGCTATGGAATAATTGTCATGTGTATTGTATTAGTATTTAAAATTTTTTATAATTGATGTAATTTTTATTCTTCTATATACTTTTTTAAAATTATTTTCAAATACAATTTTCTTGTGTATTGTTTCATGATTTAACATTTTTGACTGTTTTCATTTTTATTGTTCCATATACTTTTTTTAGATTTTTCAAATATATTTTTAAATATTTGTATTTGTTTCCAGTGAGTATACTCGTAGCGTACGATAATATTTTTGTTTGGTGGAGAAGTCATGAATTATTTATGATTGATATCACAGCTGTGTGAAATCTTCGTGGTCTAAATAATCAGTGCATACTGTGCACAATGCGAAAACATTGTTAAGCTGTTGTGCAAATGATGAATTTTATACAAAGTCTGCAACCTATACGTGATTGATGCGGCCATGCGGAGTTATCATAATTAAATGGGATAATCACTCCACTTCTGACAGTCTTCATTCTGCGTAACCGTCTTTTTCCATGTAATTTTTTATTCACAGAGATATAAATGAAATGTTGTTCGAATTGAACGAATTTTTTTTATTATTTAAACATATAACTATGGTGCATAAACTATACCATTATGTATAAGGTGCATTGACCAAATATTTTCTATTTTCTTTCTCCCTGAACGCGAAAATGTAAAAAATTTCACATTTAATAATGCCTAGATTCTCTCTACGAACACTTGACAAATAACTGAGACATCAGCGGGCATTTTGGTCAATTTTCTTTTACACGAGGGTGCACTAGCAACAATTTGTTCCAACTCAGTACAAACAAGTGACATGAATGTAAGTGAAAATTTGTTCAGGTGAACGAAGCACTGACATATAATGATTAATTATTAAAGATAAGAAAAATTTTTTGATAGAATTAATCTTAAATAATTAAATTGTTTGAAGAATGAATAAATAATTTAAGCAACAAGGCCAGGGAAAATTAGCTGAATTTTCCACTTTAATGAGCATCACAAAACAAAATTATTTGTTAGCTCAAATGAAATCAGACACATGATTTGACTAAGGAAGATATGGTATATAAACCGATTAAATCCACTTTAATTTTATTTCGCTAACTAACTATTTTATTTCGCTTCGATTACATACACGGATGTTAGATAGGAATAAATTAAATTTGAAATCAGTAATTACATTTGTCGACAAATGATGTTAGGATTACTCTTCCACATAAATGAAAGTAAAAAAATTAATCAAAAATTAAGTAACCACTCACTCTTAATTACGGTTGCATTTGTATTTCTGTTCGTGAAAGAAGCAGAAAAGAAACGTACGCCTCTTTAAAGCACATAAACAAAAGGTTCTGTAAGGATCAAATGAAAGGAAGTATAGCAGAGTGGCAAGTTCTTCTTTGAGTTGCAGTCGTGGATGAATCGAAAAAATTGGGATTTGGATTAGTCATCTTGATGGAAACTGCAGTTCCAATGTTGATGTTACCCATTGTGTAGTTCTTGAAGTCAGTTCTGGTCTTTTTCATTGTTTCTTCCTAGATTGATTCAAATTAAATTACAGACTACATATTAAATAATTTTGCCGAGAGTGCGAAATATTTTTATGGAAAAAAACAATATTCTGACTGAATTTTCCTTGTGAAGATTAAAATTAAATTTTACAATCTCTATAGTTTATATAGTATAAATATAAAAGATTACGATTAAAAAACGTTAAGGGATAATGTTTTAAATGCATGATTGTGGAACTTAGCACGTGAACACCTGTAAAATTCGCGTAATGAGATCGCGTTGTGTATATATACTTTAACGATGCAATAAATCTTCGACTTTTTCACACGGCGCATCATGGAACTTTTGCTCATGGTTTATGCTCCCAATATCGTTGTGATTATGCCTAGACTTTGACTCTTTTTATTGCATCATTGATCAACTTTTCATGTTAAATTGATGCGCCAACTTTTACTACTGAAATTCCAAGGTTGACAGAGAACAGGCTTGCTGCTGAGGAAAATTTTCAGGTGCAAACTTGACTTTATTTATCATGGAAGTTTCTATTTAGTTCAAAGTCGATTTTAGAGGAAGCAAGAACCAAGATATTTTGTATTTGTTTTAATTTAATTTGTTTTAATTTAATTTTTATTAGTTTAATTTGTATTTGTTTTTTAATTTAATAATTTATCTTATATTATAGTGCTACGGTGGAAATGAAATTTTTGCGACATAACTGTTCGAAAAATATTTTCAAGACTTTTCAAACAGAATTTCAGTAATTCACATTTACTCCGATCTGCTTGTGATCAATTTTTTAAAAGATCTACATCAAATATTTACATAGGCAGCTACAACATTTTTTAAGTGTACCGGATAATACAAAATAAAATTCTGAAGATTATCTAACATGCCATTTGACTAATTTTACTTGATTATAGGAGCGATTTTGAGAGAATGGATTTTTCATTTAGCGCAATCTGAAGTCAACTATGCAATACTGAATTAGGGATAACCAATAAAAATCCATAAGAACAATTTTGATTAAATTCAGCCATGAAATATCACATTGAAGCCACAAAATTTTAATTAAATTAACAAGCACTTATTCCCCCATGAGGCTACACTAAATTTGTGTGTACTCAAGTGGCTCGGTTCAGTTCAACGTCGCTGTTCTCAGGTGAAAAGAAGACGCGATGAAGTTTCTGGTGCCTATCGCGCGCAGTCAAAAGCGTTCTAAGATAAAGGCTGAGTTCCGTTGAATTAAAGCCATGAATTCTGCCTTCTCTTTTTAGCGCATTTTCTCATATTTGGAAAAAAGGCGCTACTGTGCTCGTCATGTCCGTCTGTCTGTCTGTCTGTCCGTGTCTTCACGTTTTCGTCGACGAGAAAATGCGCTCTCTGTCACTCACTGCAGTGAGTACTGAGTTATATTTTTTTATTCTTGCGTCCTTAAAAATATCTCATAATTTACTAATCTTTTTTTAGTTCATGTCTGAACTATTTCTACTCTTCTCATTCTCATTTTGCGGTTATTTTTCATTTCAAATGGCAACATCCTCACATCAAATATATAGAACTGTATATATTTCTTGGCGACCGCACGGCCGTTCAAAGAAGCATTTCACCTTTGAATCATTGGCCATTTTACTAATTTTCCGAGGACCATCAAAACGCTAAGGACGTTCGTCGGTTTTAGCGATGTTAATCCGCCGCTTTAGACACTTCAATCTTGCATCCATTGTTGTGGAGTTATAAATTCATCAGACGCTCCACCCTCCGATGCCAGTCGAGCAGCCAGCTTCATTAAGTCAAGTGCCCTTCAATGTGGAAAATTCATAAATGAAAACAGAATTCCATTTCGTCTGCGTGCCGGTAAATATATAAGAGATTTTCTAAGCTTCTAGATGGCAAATAGTTGGGCAGGTACTACCTTTATGTACGTATCAAATTTCTCGCCTTATTTAATTATATTGACTATTATATCCATTTCCTTATTTTCATGGATGTACTCAGTAGCCAGGGCCAGGGTATGATGGGATATTTTATTTCATTTCGTATTTGTATAATTCCTAGCCTATGTAACAGTTCTGATCATTTCCTACTTCGGAGCAATGTAATTAAGGATTTGATGCTTAGTTTTATTTTGCATTTTGCCTTCTATAAAAAAGAGGTAATATTGTTATTTCTATTTAATTTTATTTGTCCCATTGTGCCCCACTTACCGCTACAGTACTAGAAGATAGTTATAACTCGGCGCCTGCAGCAACATCGAAAATACAATTTTTAATATTGACTTCTGGGTCTGAGCATACATGCTCCGTTGGTAATTGTAACAAAGTTTCATTCGTGTTTACCACTCAGATGTTCCATCACTTCTGATACGTGGTCAAAGCAAGGAAAAAGACGGACATAAACACTAGAAATTATGGCAGCGGTGCGTCCGTAAACTGACCTGACGCAATCATAAAGTCGGTAGATTTTTGAAGCAGGAAAGTTGCAGGCGTTCATAAGGCAGGAAAAGGTGCAGACGAACGAGCGATAAATGCATGAATATAATTTAAAGAAGGATCTATGAGGTATTTCAATCACCGTCTGCATTAATGGCATTTAAAGACCACGGTCTGCTGATAGAACACTAATTACTTGAAATTATCTTCAGCTTCAACTTCGAGCCCATAATCACCATGTCATCCATTAAGCACCTGTAGCTATTGCTAGGGATATTATACAATGCACAATGATTTAATTTCTGCCAATCGAGCAATTGGGCTCGGTCGAGTGCTCATTAATTTCAAGATTTACAAATCTCACAGGGGAGAATTATTTATTGACTAATCCAAGTGTTATCAATATTAGACACATTCTAACGCGAAGTGCAGCTCACACGAAAATGTAAAGAAAGGAATACTTTAGGAGCTGTGCTCATAATGCTGCAGCTTCTTCCCATACCATAGTTTATTTCTGTACATGACATTCGAGGTGCGGCAAATGTGAAAGACGATTGATCCAGCACCTCAGGCTAAGTTAGTGACACTATAGCAGGTCTGAACTTCTCGAAGGAATTCAAGCCAACCTTCAACAATGCAACAATGTTTGTGATCTTGAGTTTCATGCCTACGATTTAGAGAGTTGTGTGTTAAAAATTTAATTAAATTGAGACTGTAGAAATAATTAATGAGATCCGAACAGGTGACGGATGTTCAGATGTCTCGGTTTGCGTTTTGATTTTTAGCTTGAAAAATATCAAGTCTAATCAATTCTGAACCACTGTAGTATTAAGATAACGATAAGAGAATAGATTTTCTGTAGCACAATCTCAATTAGATTTGCAAGCAAAAATCGTAGCATCAGACATGTTTAACACTTTACTCATTTAATGAAAGATACGAAAAATATTATTTCTCGATGATTTTGTGACAGTGATTTTTAAATGAATAAACGGCGTATAAATGCTTTCAAAACCTTTGAATTGTGTGCAGGCCCATCCTGACCGTTATGGAAGACCCAAATGTCGCATTAACTCATTACGAGTCAGGCCTTCATGATTGCGGCGTCATTTTGAAATCACCAGATAGATGTTTATGAGAACAACAAGCAACACCGTCCCATACACGCTTTTTCTTGATTTTAGTGAGAATTAACTGTCTTTGAACTTTATTTGCTTTAAAACGTAATGTGCGGAGGATGATGTGATTGAATTAAGTTTATCACACATTTTGGCATTGCTTCTCATCAGAAGCAACGACTGAATTATTTATTCAAATTCACTGCTTTAGCCTTGATATAGTAGCCTCAGTTTACCATATAGTCAATAAAATGCTTGCATTAATTTTATATATTGTAGAAGTTTCATGAATAATTAAGCAAGGGTTCTCTGCAGTTGGCAGAGAGCAACAAATTGTCTTTGCTAAAAGGATATGCGGGCCTATATTCTTTATTATTCCGTAGGCTTCTTCCTCGTTAGCCCATGAATCTCTAAAACATCCTGTTGATGTAACTTCAGAAACTCCTCAGAGAAAATATAGCATGGAAACCACGACAGGAAGAGTATCCTTCAAGCTCTGGTAACACAACAGCGAAAAGTTCCCTGCCTCATAGTTAGAGGTTGAATTAAAACTCGGCAACTTTTAACTGAGACGTGAATGAAACTTGAACTAAGCGAGGACCCGAGCTTTCATGAAAGTTAAGAGGTTAACTTGAGTGAGGGCCTTAGTTAAATCCTGGCATTATTCAATATTGTGCGGGCTTTAAGGAGAGCAACCTTCTTGTTTTAACGTGTCTCAGGAGGATGGTCATCGAAAAAGTATGTGAGAAAGAATAACTTTTTTTAGTATGGCTGAAGAGATTGACGCTTAAATGACTGTCAACTAGAATCCAATAGGCAGATTAAGCGCAATTTCAGAGACAACTTCCCTCTAATCTACTAAATTTTAATTCTTTAACTCAATGTGCGTGGATTTAGACTTTTGCCTTACTATACATTTACTATACTTTTCTTAGCATCCGTAGCATAAGCTGAGCGTGGTTGCCAACAAGCTCAAGAGTTTCATGTCATATTTCAATTAACTAAATAAGTTTAAAAGGCAGATTAAACGATATTCTTGTGCACATGATACCTCCCTAACAAATTTATAATATTAATCACCTTAGGAGCAGCTGGAGTTGATCGCTAACACCCCAGGGCTGTGCGACTTCAAAGTGAACCAAGTGTACGCGATCGTGTCTTCCAGCGTATCCTTCTGGATCCCCGGCATCATCATGCTGGTCATGTACTTCAGGATATACAGAGAAGCCGACAGACAGGAGATGATGGTCTTTCGGTGAGTTATTCTAATATTCTACTGTAAATCATTTTCTGTATAAAATGTTTTTCAAAATATTCAAAACATGTATATGTACCATTGCCGCGAGCGTTACACAATTTAAAAGCATAGTATGCCAGTAAAACTTCATACATCTACAGAGGTATTTCCGCAAGCAAATAATAAATTATTGCAGCAGATAAACGATTTGGTCTTCACATGAAATTTAATTTATTGTTTTCAAATTATTTTGATTGACATTATTTGATAAAAATTTCGGTATAATATCATACTGCTTGATTTACATCGTAAATATTATTTAACGGCTGTAAAATAAGAAAAAGAAATTTTGTAAACGAAAAACAGCAAAGGGATATTTTGGATTTTTAAAAAGTATCTTTGAAAAAACTGTTAAAGGATATTTTCTAGGAACCCAGACATGCATATCATTTCATTCCGGATTTATCATGATTATGTAAACGGATGCTTTGGTTTCACGAATTTCGTGTTGATATGAATAAGCAATATCGTAAACTTCAACAAGTTTAGCGATCATCCGCCTCTGAGCTGAAGCCTGATCATCTCCAAAATGGTAACGTTCTCAAATTAAAACCAATTTCAGTCAATTCTCAAGGCCCTCACGTCAGTTAATATCATTTCTGGCTCGCTATCGGCTCAGGGTACTGGTATGATTGGCGCTGCTCTTGTGCTGAGCATTTGCAGATTGAATTTCCGTTAGATGGCACCCTTCACAATGCAGCTCTAATATTCTGAGTGTATTATTAACAATAGAACATTTCCGCAATATGACTACAAGTTCCGTCGCTCCCCGGAGCCTTCGCATCTGTACCTATGGCATGGACAATTTGCATTGAATGTCACGTGGCTGACGTTGGGATTAAACTATCCGCTTGTCCCCGCATATCGCAACTAATTTCTTGAATAGTTCATGTATAAACGTTAAACAGAGCTGTTGCAAGCAGGCTAGTGTATTGGTTCCTTCAGTCTCTGATTGGATGGTAAAAAACTTGAATCTGTGTGTCCCATTCAGGAAATTAAGAATTGAAATTTTCCAGCGGACTTTTACACATGATGACTAATTTCAAAGTGAATTTCTACTGATAATAAAATGTAGAATTCCTGAGATATGGGCCCAAAAAATGATTATCTCAACCTTAAAAATTCTGTTTTTACGAGAAAGTCATCGCATATTTCAGCGCAGCAGGCTGATGATCTCAATTATTAGGAAGGAAGGACGCTGAGAAAGAATGTGCCCTAAATACTGATAGGATCGTGTTGAAGCATCCAATTAGTGTAGAAGTCTGGGTGGGAAGGAAGCCCTTGACGCTCCTCATCAGCGCATAGGATTCATCAGAATTCAAGATTCGCGCGCTCGAGAATCGTCAAAGTTTATATCTTTTGGCAGCGAAGCTCAATTAGAGTCTGCTGCGTGCAACGAGGTGGTCGTGCGCGTCTAAATTACCAGTACGAGAGGACCACTCGAGGGTGGGACGACGAGGACACGAGAGGGTGAGATGACGAGGGCACGCGAGGGTTCTGGAGCAGTTCATAAGTTCTTCGAGGGACTCGATCGCAATACGCTCGAAATTTTGTAGTTATTTATTGGATATTGGGGACAGATATTGGAACCCTTCTTCAAATAGACGACTTGTGTGAATTCAATCATAAACTAAAACGTATAGAGGTTACTTAATATAGTCATGTTTGCCATAGTATAGCCATGCGATAGATAGATCATATTTCTTCGAGTGTTGCAAAATCAGTATTCTAAATATTGGTGTTAAATATGGTGTACTCAGAACTTAGATTAGATGGTCTCGAAGTTTAGAGCGATTCTCGAGTTGATATTAGAGAGAAAGCCAGAATGGCGAACGTCGTTCTAGTTTCATAAAACTAGTAAAAAAAGAAGACTTGTATTTAAGTAACATGAGCATTCATTCTAAAACCTATTTCAAACTCGGTGTCCCGCATGGATATTGAGACTCGTTTTCTGCTTGCGAAGCAGTTTTCTCCAAAAGTCATTTATCAAAGTATAGTCATTTTGAAAACACATACATACGTAATGATATTCAAGATATAGATGAATCTGACTTTCCAATTATTATGATAAAGTAGAGATAGTAGTCGATCCGTGATTGGATTGTTTCACAAATGGGTGCATTCATTTTATTTAATGGGTGCATAAGTGCATACCATGAGCACAAAGGAAAATCTTTACAAGCGTAGTAATATCGAGCTTCGTTCGTTTTTTTTCATAAAATAACTATCAGTATAAATATCAGTGGTAACCTCATGCATTGTTCTGTTTAATTACGCCGTATGAATTTTCTTAAAAACTAAATGATCGCGTGTTGCATAAATTTCGATCAATATCTGGCTAATAACTTTGAATGAATACAATTTCCATGAATTGTGAGTCATTCATTCTTTCACTATACTAAATGTTCGTCATTCTGCTAATAAAATTTGGAAACAAAGATGAGTCTCCATTTTGGTCGAGACCTCGTTACTTGACCTCAGCGTTCAAGAGCCCATCGAGAAAGGCTGGAAGTTTACCTGAAAGTTAAGGCTCAATCCCTCTCAAGTTGTGGTAACTTCCTGACGCAGTCTTATGGAAAGTTGCGAACGATCGAACCTCGCAGGTTAGGGCAGCAGTTACCAGCTGTAGAAACGATGGCTTCACGCCATGAGCAACGCTCTTCTTTTTGCACATTTTCACTGGAACTATTCACTAGAATTTTTACTGTTAACTCGCACATTTTCACTGGAACTATTCACTAGAATTTTTACTGTTTATTTGCACATTTTCACTGGAATGAGTTTCTGTGTATTAAAATAAGATCTTAGAATTTAGCGATATTATCTTCTGAATTTAATTTTTTAGATGCCATATTCAACTCTTTGCTATAACCAAATATGACCTTTGAACTTTGGACCTAATAACCGTTGGCCAAATAAAAGAATTACGAAAATGCCCATTATTTATTTATATTTTCTAGTATAAATCTTTTCACTTCTATTACTCTATGATACAAGAATAAAAATTTTCTTACTTCGAACAATTTTCCTAATATCTATGGAAATTAATCAGGCTAAACTTGATATTCTTGTACAATTTTTCTGTCTTCTAAATAGTTATATCATGAAAATGTCAAAGATTTAAGCTGAATCATTAATTCAGTGGCTTAATCACAGTATTTTTTATGACTTATAATGTGATCCAAACGAACCCAAATCTTGCCATTATACCTGGAGTTTTGTCATTTTCTTTGTCATTACTCCTAATCATCGAACGTATTCTTACCATTACCTCTACGACCTGACCGTCTTCCAATAAAGCGGTGACTACAATAACATTATTGCTTACACACAATTTCCTAAGATTTCTGAAATATTTTCTTTAACTAAACATATTATTGAATTCGTTTACAATTTCAACAATATAGTGTGTCCGGCTTTGAGTGAATGAAAGCAGTAGGCTAGCTATTTTTTAAAACTACGAAAACATTTTTAAATCACAAAAATGTTCTTTGCAAAGCCATATGCATTCTCCCACAAACATTTCCACCACATCATAAGCGTTATGATTTACCAGTAAGCAGGAAATGGCGGAAACAGACGTCACCAACAAAATATTATGTTCGCATTTACATTTCTATTCATGTCTTCATAGCCGCAAATTTTCCCTTCTTGTTTCAAACAAGACGCGAAATAAATGTATTTTATAAATTGTAAATTACACGTTATAAATTACCAAGCTGGGTGCTGAAATAATAAGCTAACGTTGTACAATTTTACTGGTTATATTACAAATTTAAATTTTATTCATTCATTAAGCATTAATGATTCTGTTTCAATCTAGAAATAATTGTTACTTTACCCTCAACTTTGCACCACTCGGTAGGATCTATAAAGTATTCTTTGCGACTCCAAACCGCTGGCGCTGGTATTAATGCTACAATGAGAGAAATGAGTGAGTCTTTGTCCAAATGGCGATAAACTTTTTCATTTTTCGGGTCATCTTGAGTTGGTTTGGCCCGGAAAAAGGAGCGTATCAGTGCTGGGTGCAGAAGTGTGTCCCTATATTGGAGAATATGATCCATACATTTTTCAAAGTGTACGCTCGGCCATCGACCACACAAATAAGTATAAATATCGCTCCGTCGCTAGGCATAAATCTGGCAACAATGGCGTCGAGTTAGAATAACTTTGCACCACTCGGTAGGATCTATAAAGTATTCTTTGCGACTCCAAACCGCTGGCGCTGGTATTGTTGCTACACTGAGAGAAATGAGTGAGTATTTGTCCAAATGACGAAAAACTTTTTCATTTTGCAGGTCATCTTGACTTAGTTTGGCCCGGAAAAGAAGCGTATCAGTGCTGGGTGCCGAAAGTGTGTCCCTATATTGTAGAATTTGTTCCATACATTGTTCAAAGTGTACGCTCGGCCATCGACCACACAAATAAGTATAAATATCGCTCCGTCGCTAGGCATAAATCTGGCAACAATGGCGTCGAGTTAGAATTGTGGCCCCGACTGAATGTTCAGATGGCAATAACAAGTTGCATTACATTCTTGAACAAAATTTGTCATGGCAAAATTTTTTTTTACTTTCGGGATCACAAAATCATCTACAATACGTTTTTTTACCGCAACAAAGCTCAAACCCTTGATCCAAGATTAAATTTGGTAAGTAATAAAATAATATGACTCACTTTTTTTCAAACAATCAGAAAAAGATCGATTGAGAGAAGCGTTGAACGACGGAAATAATCTGAACGATTTCATCAAAGAGTCACCCATTGCACACCTTATTTTTATACCTGTCAGAGAAATTAAGAATATTATATGAAGTATTTTCGTACATGAAGGGCGCTTTGCAATATTCAAGAGACAAGCTGTAGCATTTGTTTTGATACTCCACCCTACTTAATAAACTCGATTATTACAAAATATTTTTGAACGATGATAACTCCCAGACTGATTCCTACATAGG